CATGCGCCTGTAATCCAAGCTACTCAGGAGGCTGAGGCAGAAGAATCACTTGAACCTGGGAGGTGGAGGTTGCAATGGGGTAAGATCAGGCCACTGCACTCCAGCCTGGGAGAGAGCGAGTGACTCTGTCTCAAAAAATACAACAAAGAAAAGGAAAATAATGAGTATCTCAAAAAAGGCTTCTAAAGTTTTGAGAAAAATACTATATTAAAATCATATATGTCATTTAGAGAATAACAACAATAATGTCACTTATTACATTTTTAGGATCGAGGTAAAGCTGTAGAAAAATGCATATTGATAGTCCTCATAATTTGATTATTTATTATAAGATGAAAAATGCAAAAGTCACTTAAATCAAAAAGTTAGAAATGAAACAACAAAACTAGATTGAGAAAAGCATGGTGGGATATTAAAAAGAATGACAAAATTTGATAAATTTGAAAACTAAAAATAATATGAATTTCTATATAAATTCAATATTTCATCCTTTTAAAAATAAAAGTTAGAGTCTGGAAAATGTAATTGTATAGAAATAAAACACAAACATATAGATAAGGTACAGAAAGGACATATAAATTGTAGGAGAATCATAGTTATAACCCTATGTCAGTAATTTGCAATTTTAAATTAATGAGTTTTTAAGAAAACATAAATTGTCAACATGAGAAAAATTTAGAAGAGTAGTTAATAGCAAAAATTGAAAATGAAGTTTTCAACAAATTAATTTTTCTTATGAATAATAAATACAAAATCTATACAGACTATTAGCATGTGAAATTTAACAATAACTATTAAAAATCTAACAAAAATAAAATTTATCAGAGAAAGCTATGGATAATCAAAAATCTCTTATTTATAACAAATAGGTCAAAAGAAAAAGAACTATAAAGGAGTCACCAGGCAAAGGTAAACTCTAAAAAGAAATCAAAAATATAATACAGGATATGGAAGGAAAAATCTCCAGTGTAATAGATAGCATACATTTTGAAAAAAATCACAACTTCTGGAAATCAAGACACATTTAGACAAATGCAAATGCACTGGAAAGTTTCAGCAATAGAACTGGACAAGCAGAAGAAAGAACTTCAGAGCTCAAAGACAAGGCTTTTTAATTAACCCAATTTATCAAAGACAAAGAAAAAAGAATTTTTAAAAAATGAACAAAGCCTCCAAGAAGATTGGGATTATGCTAAGCATCCAAACCTAAGAATAATTACTATTCCTGAGGAGGAAGGGAAATCTACAAGTCTGGAAAACATATTTGAGGAAATAATCAAGAGAAATTCCCTGGCCTTGCCAGAGATCTAGACATTAAAATACAAGAAGCTCATAGAACACCTTGGAAATTCATTGATAAAAGATCATCACCTAGATTTTAAGGAACTGTCAAAACCATACAAATAAGCACACAATCATCAGGTTATCTAAAGTCAAGATGAAGGAAAGACTCTTAAGAGCTATGAAGCAAAAGCGTCAGGTAACCTGTAAAGGAAAAGCTACCAGAAAAACAGCAGATTTCTCAGAAGAAATCCTACATGCTAGAAGGGATCGGGTCCTATATTTAACCTCCTTAAACTAAACAATTATCAGAATTTTGTGCCCAGCAAAACTAAGCTTCACGAATGAAGGAAAGATACAGTCTTTTCCAGACAAACAAATGCTGAGATAATTCCACTACCAACCCAGCACTACAAGAATTGCTAAAACAAATTCTAAATTTCAAAAGAAATCCTTAAAATACGCTAAAATAAAACCTCTTTAAAGCATAAATCTCACAGGACCTATGTAACAATAACACAAGGAATAAAAGGTATTCAGGCAACAAATAGTATGATGATTAGAATAATACCTCACATCTGAATACTAACATTGAATGTAAATGGTTTAAATGCTCCACTTAAAACATACAGAATGGGCCGGGTGAGGTGGCTCAAGCCTGTAATCCCAGCACTTTGGAAGGCCGAGGTGGGTGGATCACGAAGTTAAGAGATTGAGACCATACTGGTCAACATGGTGAAACCCCTTCTCTACTAAAAATATAAAAAATTAGCTGGGCATGGGGGCACGTGCCTGTAATCCCAGCTACTCAGGAAGCTGAGGCAGGAGAATTGCCTGAACCCAGGAGGCGGAGGTTGTGGTGAGCCGAGATCGCACCATTGCACTCCAGACTGGGTAATAAGAGCAAAACTACATCTCAAAAAAAAAAAAAGTACAGAATGGATGGCATAATGGATCAAAGATCTAAATCTAAAACCTGAAACCATAATAATTCTAGAAGATAACATCAGAAAAACCCTCCAAAACGCTGACTTAGGCAAAGACTTCGTGACCAAGAACCCAAAAGCAAATGCAACAAAACAAAGATAAATATAAGTGACTTAAACTAAAAAGCTTTTGCACAGTCACATAAACAGTCAGCAGCATTAAGAGACAACCCACAGAGTGCGAGAAAAACCTTCAAAATATATACATCTGACAAAAATCTAATATCCAGAATCTACAAAGAACTCAAAGAAATCAGCAAAAAAAACAAACAATACTATCAAAAAGTGGGCTGAGGACGTGAATAGACAACTATCAAAAGAAGATATACAAATGATTAAAAGGCATATGGAAAAATGCTTAACATCACTAATGATCAGGGAAATGTAAATCAAAACCACAATGTGATACAATTTCACTCCAGCAAGAATGGCCATAATAAAAAAAAAATCAAAATAATAGAGGTTGGCATGGATGTGGTAAAAAGGGAACACTTCTACACTGTTGGTGGAGATGCAAGCTAGTACAACCACCATAGAAAACAGTGTGGAGATTCCCTAAAGTACTAAAAGTAGATTTACTGTTTGATCCAGCAATCCCACTACTGGGTATCTACCCAGAGGGGGAAAAAAGTCATTACGTGAAAATGATACTAACACATACATATTTATAGCAGCATAATTTGTAACTGCAAAAATATGGAACCAGCACCAAATGCCCATCAATCAACAAGTAGATAAAGAAAATGTGATATGTATGTATGTATATGTTTGTGTGTGTGTGTGTGTGTGTGTGTGTGTCTATATATATGGAATGCTACTGAGCCATAAAAAAGAACTAAATAAATAATGGCATTCAAAGCATCCTGGATGGAATTGGAGACTATTATTCTAAGTGAAGCAACTTGGGAATAGAAAACCAAACGTTCTTATGTTCTCATTCATAATTGGGTATTAAGTTATGAGGCTGCAAAGGCATGAGAATGATACAATGAATTGAAAGAATGATACAATGAAATTTGGGGTCTTGGGGAGTAAGGGCGGGAGGGGAGTGAGGGATAAAAGACTACACATTGTGTACTGTGTACACTGCTTGGGTGATAGGTACACCAAAATCTCAGAAATCACCACTAAAGAACTTTTTCATGTAATCAAACACCACCTGTTCCCCAAAAACCTATTGAAATCAAAAATAAATTTTAAAATAGAAACATTATTGTAGAGAAAGTATAGAAAAATGTTTCATTAATTATTGATAAGAGCATTCTCATCTAATAGAATATAAAGATTAATTAAAATACTTTTACAAATGAATTGTTTTAGCAAGTGATTGTAAAAAAAAAATTGTCAAATGTTAGTTCTTTCCAAATTAATTTATAAATGCAACATAGAGTCAATTAAAATTCCAGTGGGAAAACGTAGACCCGATGCTTTATATTTCTTTCTCTACATCCAGAAAACAGTGTTTAATCGATTTTTATTTGCCATATTCCTTGCTACACAACTAGTGTCGAGAACATATAACCACTCTTAAAACTTAATATCTCTGTGGATCAGAAACGGAACAGAAAGCTAGAGGTCGGGTCTCAACCTGTTGGCTGCTGGGTGCTGGGTTTAAATTCATAGACAGCTGTGAATTTGACTACCTGTCAAGTTACAGTGAGTTTTCTATAGTGGGAAAAGGAAAGATAGGTGCCTGGGGTCTTGTACCACAGTACTGAAACAGAATGGGATACAGGACATCCATATTAGGAGGCACAGCACAGGAGTGATGTATGGAGAAATAATCACCAGAAACTGCTGTAAAATTAAAGGCCTAAGATTTTAGTTTGTGATATTGAGCCCAGTTTGCTGTTAGGATAAAACTTGCTAGCACACAAATCAAAGAGCAAATGGAGCCTAGAGAGGTTTAGAGGAGGAAATTTCTTCTTGCAGTAGAGAGAAAAATCATTAACATTAGTCGTGATCAGAACAGGGAAAAGGGGAAGACACGCTACCACACAGGGCAGAAAGGGGCATGAAGGCACCATGCCCTTAATCTTCCCAATCAAGCACACAGTTTAGAAGGATCAGGTGCCCTGTGAAACGGGAGTAAAAGGGACCAGGTCAGAGTGACATACAGGAGTGCATGAGTACACATTACCCACAGAGCCTGTAGGGGTTATCTGGCCTCAGGCAGCCTCTGAGTGTGCAGGGTACACAGGGACCTCACATATGTTACAGCAAGGGGAATACATGTCTTCCCCACTCTCCTAGAGTCTGCTCTCCTGGTTTTTAATGTGTTCACTGCTCCCACCCTGAAGGAGTCATGACCACCTGAAAGAGGAAGTCTGGGTGACAAAAAGAGGGAAACCATCTGGCCACTTAAGCTGGTGGGAACATTTAAAGCTTCATCCAGAGGAGAATAAAGAAGAACCACCTGATGGCCATTTCCTGCTCCCCTGAGTTCTATCTGCAGAGAGGAGCAGGGTATCTGCAGTCCATTCTGATACCTCCCAGGGAGGTTGGCCTTTAGCTGCATTGAGATAAGACCTCCATGACCCTCTACTCCAGCTGGAAGTACTGAGCTCAGTTCATTCATATTTGGAAACTTCCTCCCTTCAGAGAAGTGATAATCGGAAGGTAAATTTGCAGAAAAATCATGTTTTCAAATTTTATTCCACAGGACTGAGGGAATGCTGGGAGTTCTCTGGGCTCATTGTCTCTTCAGAAAAAGTGATGAAATCTGGATCTTACCCCATGGGAGTCCTGAGGAAGGCATGTCCTGAAGTTGGAGAAATTTCACCACTCAGGATTTTGAAAGTTGTGCTCTTCCCAGCTCCATTCACCCCTAGAAGTCCAAAGCACTAAGAGGAAATAAAGTTAGGTAAAGCACATTCAATCAAACAAGCTAAATAAATAGAACAAGTTAAATAATCAAAATTATATTAGAAACAGCACTTGCTTTTAGCCAGCTTTGAGTTGAGTTTGTTGGTTCGTGCTATTTGTGGAGTTTTAAAATCATAATATTGTTTAAAACAATGTATAGATTGCAAAGTCCTCTCCAAACCATGACGACACTTGAGTGGTATAAGAATTTCAGTGGCTGGGTGCAGTGGCTCACACCTATAATCCCAGCACTTTGGGAGGCTGAGGTGGGTGGATCACGAGGTCAAGAGATCGAGACCATTGTGATCAACATGGTGAAACCCCATCTCTACTAAAAATACAAAAACTAGCTGGGCATGGTGGCACACGCCTGTAGTCCCAGCTACTCTGGAGGCTGAGGCAGAAGTATTGCTTGAACCCAGGAGGTACAGGTTGCCGTGAGCCGAGATCACGACATTGCATTCCAGCCTGGGTAACAAGAGCGAAAGTCCATCTCAAAAAAAAAAAAAGAATTTCAGTAGTAATTTACAGACAATAAATTCATGTGTGGAAAACTCAAGAGGATAAGAAGTAAATGCCAACTACCCCAAATTATGCAGACATAATACAATATTCTTTGGAAGTCACGTTGTCATAATTATTTTCTCCTAATTTCATTTTTGTATATTTTAAAGTATTCTTTTCACAGATTCCATCTTCTAATGTATATGCATATGTATGTGTGTACACATGCGTGTGTGTTTGTGCAATGCTCACACCTTCTTTATACACCGTCTGTTTCCATTGAAGAGGCTGTAAAATTCCTGTGACTTCACTCCTAACTCAGAATCTAGGCTAATCCTGATATTAATTAAAAGATAACCTCTCGTTCTATATTCTGACATTGAGCATGGAGTCAATTCAGTTATTGATCCAAACTCACCTTAAAAGCCGATGTGAAAAATGGCCTTCTTGCTGTCTTTTCTACACTCTGTCTCTATCATGTGCCTCAGAATACACAGTGCCTGAGAGTCCACCTTGGTGACTGTGTCTCTCTGGTTTTGTCAGTCTCCTTCCAAGACTTCTGATGGCTAGTTGCTGCAATCTATGGATATAAACTGGCTTCCTGGCTTCTCAAAGCTTGGAAAGTGACTGCTTCTGTATTTTCTGCCACCAAGCCCTACCTAACCATCACATAATCCTGTTTTGGACCTCTGGATTTCACCACGCCCCTGAGTTGCCACCTGCTTCAATTACCATTTCCCCCCACTTCTCTGCATCTTTCCCACTATCTGCAGTATGAGTCCATCTCGATCCAGGCCTATCCTGTCCATGTCCCAGGGTGCACCACCATCAGCCTATCCAAATTATACCTATGCTTTAAGGCTTAGCTATAAACCCACATTTTCATAAAGCTCTCCCCACATACCCTGTCCTCCTACCTTTTCTTCTCTCCCTACCCAGCCACCCTCTCTGGACTTACAGCACTGAAGACAATACCACTCATGAAACTTCCAGTTCTTTTGAGAAAGTACTTCAATATATACAAAAATGAAATTGAGAGGATAATAATTATTATGATGATGTGACTTCCAAAGAATATATTATTTTATCATTGTCCCTGCCTTGGGAGAATGCTTATGCTCCCATGTAACATAGTATATGCTTATGATATTTTGTTTCCTGATCATTAATTTCTAAATGGAGAAGGACATACAGTCAATAAGAGTTCAGGCTATGATGAACCACACACACAATGGTCATCTTACAAGATGACAATACCATATTTTAACTGTACCTTGTCTATGTTTGGATACACAAATACTTGCCTTATGTTACAACTGACTACAGTATTCAGCACATGCTGTATAGACCTGTAGCCTAGGAGGAATGGGCTGTACCAGACAGCCTAGTGTGTTGTAGGCTATACCATGTAGCTTTGTGAAAGTATGTTATATAATGAAATCACCCAATGACACATTTCTCAGAACATATCCCCATTGTTAAGCAATGCAGGACTGACTGTATCCTGGTCATTTATGTATTTTCCACAGACTCGTGAATAACACTCTCCATCTAGGTAATTAAACTGTAACACTTATAAGAGCTTAAGAGAATAAAATCCAACTTTAAATGGCATCTTGGATCATTTAACATACCTGGAGCATCATTCTTATCAATGATTTATAAGTTTCTCTCTTAGCCCTGCTGGGACTCAGAAAACAATATCCCAACGTGAAGGCCTCAAAGGCAGCCTCCGAATCCAAAGTTTCTCCTCTGACCTTCTCCTGCCCTGATGTCTCCGGCCCCTCTTCCTCCCCTGAGGCTGGTCATAGAAACTAGAACCTCTTTTCCCCAAAGCCAGCCATAAAACCTAAAAATGTTACCCTAACTTCTCCTCCCTTACATATTTTTCACCACAAAAACTAGCCCTAAAGAAGTTATCTGACTTACCTTGTTTGACTGTAGGTTATAAGACAGACCTGTATTCCAGAGAGGGTCCTGCCCCACACCCGGAAGGAATAAACAGAAAACCAAACACCGCATGTTCTCACTTATAAGTGGGAGCTGAACAATGAGAACACATGGGCACAGGGCAGGGAACACCACACACTGGGGCCTGGTGGGGGTACAGGGGGGAGGGAGAGCATCAGGATAAATAGCTAATGTATGTGGGGCTTAATACCTAGGTAATGGGTTGAGAGGTGCAGCAAAAACCATCATGGCACATGTTTACAGCTATGTAACCAACCTGTGCATCCTGGACATGTATCCCAGGACTTAAAATAAAATTTTTAAAAATTAATAAAAATAAAACATCATAAACACATAGATAATAACTCCAAATTTTAAAAAATCTAAACACAGAGGACTTGCTGGGCTTCCCACTGAGACTAACAGCTTTAATTGAGTCATACCCTTTTTGTCCGACCGTATTTCTACATGACTGTCCATACTTGGTTGAATGTAAACATAAAATTAGATGGTTTCCCCGTATCTTTGGGTCTTCATTCTGAAGGCTCTCATAGCATGTAAAACTATAATCAAATAAATTCATATGCCTTTTTCCTGGTAATCTGCCCTTTGTCCATTGATTTTCAGTGAACCTTGTCCCCTACTCTTGTTTGCTTTAAACTACTATGAAGAGGAACTGGGAAAACTAAAATAATTATGATTTTTAAAGAAAGGGTTAAAAAAAATAATTCAATAAGATGGGTAAGATTGCGTAGCCAGTCTTAGAGCAGAAGCTAACAACCACCAAAAAAAAAAAAAAATTCCTTTCTTAACATTTTGTCCTAATATACCAGAAATCATAGTTCAAAGAGTAAGAATATGCCTGCATTACTTCAGATTGGTCTCTCAGCTTCTCTTTACCTCAGAATAGTCATATCTGAAAGGGCTACTGTCAGATCACATGTAGAACATAGATACCAATCAGATAACAATATAGCCTGTTTTGAATTTTTCAGGAGCTGGGAACAATATGAATGCAAGGTGCTCTTATATTTTTAACAGTTAATTAAAGGCAATTATTTCCAGAACTGATTTCCCTTTACACATTAAGCACAAATCAGAACAATTTATATGGCTTCTGTCAGTTCTAATTAAACATTATAACTAGAATTAATGTCTTATCTGTGGGGAAAAAAAAACTTCCAAAGCTATTGCTAGGGTAAATGAGTGTTCTCTACCTTTTCAGAGTAGCATTTTGCCAGATTGGTTTAATTGGACTTTAGAGTATTGATGTCCCAGTAAGAGATAGAAGTGGTTTTTTAAATTAGATTCACAAAATATTTGCTCAACAAAAAGTTTTCCCATAGCCCAAGTCATAATTAAAACTATGCAATCACATGAACATTTTAAAATTATAAAATAAACAAATCCTATCAATCAGCTAAGTTTTCATTATAAAATAGTCAACAGACCCTCTATCAGTTCTGCTTCTACTGATTTTGTAGAAATTTCTGAAATTTGAGGGCTGTTTTTGTCTCTGATTTCAAATATCCTGAGAATAACACAAGCAGATCAGCAATTAGAGTTGCACAGTTTCACAACAGAAGAAGATAAAAATAGGAGCTTCATTACCTCTCCTTTTGGTATGCCCAAACTAATATCTTGCACAGCAATAATCTTCTGGAAAAAGCGTCGATAATGTTTACTAAGGTTGTGTAACACAAGAATGTCTCCACTGGTTCTGCCTTCAAACACCCTCATTTCCTCTTTTTCAACATCTATATCCTTAGAAGATTTGACTGTGCCTTGGAGAGTAGAATGGCCCCTGGGAAGATGAAATCAGAGTGAATTCACACCTGGCAAATGATACCAGAATAGTCTCTAAGAGGGAAAAAGGCCAGAGATTTGTAAAAAGTGAAAGCTACTGCCTTCGCACTTCTGCACAATCACTTTGTCTAGAGCACCTTAGTTCTGCCATCCCGATTATCAGTCAAGAATCCGTTTTTATTCTCTAACATAAACAAAATATACACGTTCCTAAAAGATACTGAAATGGATTGATACTAAACTAGGACCAGTTTTTAATTTTATGAATAATAAAATCAGACTTTTGTACTAAATGTTAAAATAATTTATCACAAAATTATAAGGCATTTACTTATTAAGTGCTTTTACTAAACAAGTCATTTAATAAATAAATTGTATATAAAAGTATTCAAATACTGCAAGTTTATAATACATGTTAAATCATATAAAAGGATTATATAGCCAGCACTTTGCACAATACTTTGCAAAAAGTATTCAATAAGTATCTATCACAGGACTGCAAACTTAATTTTCAACCCTTATTTTCTCTAAATCTGAGCTGCTCACTTTTTAATCTTCTTTATAATTTCCAATCTGATGCATTTGACTTTCAAATAAATTTCAATTTCCCCCATAAACTATAATATGCCAATATTTTAATTATTATATTTAATCATTTAAATATATTTAATGATTATATTTCAATGATAACCTCTGAGTTAGTATCATAACCAACATCAATTACCTGGCTGTGACAGTGTAAATTACCATGAATTATTATATTGTCATTAGGAGAAGCTGGGTGAAAGGTACATAGAAACTTTCTATACTAATTTTACAACTTCTTCTGATTATTAAACTATTTCAAAATAAAAAAGGTATTAAAAATAAAACTCAATATCCATGGCAAGCTCCAAGTATCCCCAGCAACTCTCCATGGCAACTTTCCTTATTATTTTTCCATACCTGAAATCACCATTTGACAAACATATTTATTCTACACGAGCATAGATGATGAGGAAAATATAGCTAGATACTGAGAAGTCTATCTTATATAACCTCATTTATATAATATTCAAAGGCATAAAAAATAAATCAATAAAAATAAGGATTGCAGTTACCTAGAGTGCAACTATTGATGGAGAAGTTTATGAGGGGCCATCTGAGGTGTTGGTAGCATTCAGTTTATTAGTGAGAGGGGGTTACATAAATGTGTTCAATTTGTGAAAATTCATTAAATTTTACACTTTTCTGCTTGAATGGTATTTCCCTTTTCAAGATGAAGGTGTGTTTACTGACCTTTCATCCTGTCCTGGACTTCCAGAAGTCTTCCCAGTCCAACAGGAAGTTGTGCCACCTGTATTCCCCCCTGACTGGCAGATCAGTCCTCACAGTAACCCACAACAGCTTGCTCATCCTATCCTCAGGAGGATTATCTGGGAAGCTTTATGGACAGCTCCTAGATCTCATCTCCAGAGCTTCTCATCATAGAGTTCTAGGGAGGGGCCCAGGTGTGTACATTCATTTAAATCTCCTCAAGTCATTTTAGCTGGTGGGACAACTGACTGAGGTTACTTCTGGTCCACCCCTCACAAAAATCCAGTGTCCTAATACAGAAATCCAACTATGCCCAGAAATGTGCCACTTAGTTATCCTCTAACTGAAAATCACTAAAAAATGATCTCTATATTAAATAGGAAAAATCCACATGGGCCCTAGGTATAGCAGAATTTTCCCAATATGCAGCACATCTCATATCTGAACTGTGTGGTGGTTCCAACACAACCAGCATCTAGGGTATAGAGAGCAAAAGTGCAGCTCCAGGCAGGAAACAGAATAGACAGGAACTAGGGCTCTGGTCCTAATGGAAACCTGAATTCTTGGCAAACAACCCAAGGCCAGCAGCAGGAGAGTGAGACAGCTGGACAGGAGCTAGTGTAGGCTAGGGAAGGACAGCAAGGAAGTGGGAACTCAGCACTTTCATCCAGCAGTGGGTGCAGGTGACAGGGGCCCTGCAGAGACCAGGAAAGCAGGATCTATCCATCGCCCATTGCAGGGGGCAGGGTCTTCCTATTCTCTTCCAAGATTCAACAATGAATAGCATGTCAATACTACAAAACAATACAGATAGGCCCTAATAGAGAAAGAGAACATATCAGAAATACTGAGAAGGCATCAACCCAGCCCCAGAGTCAAGGCAGCAAATGTCTGTGTAGGGTGGGAGGAGGATCACAGACTGCTTCACTAAGCAGGAGGCACCACACTTGAGGGGGACCTATGAACTTTGGGCTTTACCTTTCAAACAATGACTAGTGACTTAGATCTGGGTTTTAAAAGTAAATTGACCGGGTCATGCAGTCATTATGACAATTATCCGTAAAATAGTAGTAGGCAACTAGTGTCTAAATTCACTTAAATTTCTATGCTCTGTAACTTTCATGTAGAGAAAAAAATTGACTCTTTACTGTGGATAACAAGGACATTATTTTAAAATACAATTCAACTTATACTTACAACTCTAGAAAGTAAAGGTAATACACATTTTTCTCTTTAAAGAAAAATTTTGATACTATAGGAAAATGGACTACCCTGAAATCTGCCCAAGGGGATCCTACATTATGGGTTTTTAAAATAGACTAAACTAGTGGGACATCAGAGAACAAATTACGTTTAAAAGGCACTCCACATTTTACTCCAGGTTCAGTCAGCTATTGGAAATCTGCAGACTCCAGAGTGATGTGGCCAATTCAGAAGCACATGGGATTTATATTCAAAACGGTTGTCTACTTTACTTATTAAAAGGGGTTAGATAAGAAAATAGGTCAGGAAATGGCTGAAAGGAAGAAACGTTATAGAGGGGATCACCATAAAATGTTAATCATATGTCTTTATAATTCTTAACAGATTTTCTAGTGACATGGTATTAATTGGTAATTTCTCCAAAAAGGATCCTTTCCTCAAGTAGAGGTCAGAGGGAAATACATAAGCCTTGTAAAGAGCAGGCCATTGAATTCAGGCCACTTGGGTCATGGAGGGAAAGCCATACCATTGTGGACCCTACACAGGATACCACATGGCTTCCTTATATCGTTCAAATGTTTTATCTTACAATATTTCAGATATCCTTGCAAGGCCATATTAAATCCTATTTAGAGTAGTAGGAATGCATGTGTGCGTATATGTATGCATGCATGTATATAAACCACATCATACATCTACCTGTCTATGTATGTCCCCTGCTACTGACTTTCGAACTCACCTGACAAAGATGAGAACACAGCAGCATAAGCAACAAGATCCAGCAAAGGACACACAGACATCTGCACTGAACTTTCCTATCTTCCTGCTTCCAGAGTTCTTAACATTTAGTTGTAAAAATAATGTTATGGTATCAACCAAATTTACCTTAGCTACTTCAAAGTAACAGAGAAATTCAGCAATTTCAAAGTGAAAATAGACTGAGACAATTAATTGGAAAGATTATCTCGATGCTTGGCACCGTATCTTTTGAAAATTTCCTTCCTGGTGTGGGTGACTCACACAAATCAACATTTAAAAAATAATAAAATCTTAACACATTAGAACTAGGTATAATGCTGATCAGTTACAATTTTTATTTTACAACTTCCAGGATGAATTTTTCTCTTCCTCTCTTTTTGCAGGAGTAAGTGCGGCTCGAGGATGAGCCTTTCAGAACCCACCTTGGCCACTGCAGAAGATCCCAGTGTAGCAGAACCCTCAGGAGGAGAAGCACTGTGCCCTGCGTGGCCAGTTCCACGAAGATCCAGCCCAGAAAGTTCATCTCAAAGGGACTCACATAGGAATCAATGCCGAAGTTGTGGGTCAGGTCATATTTTATCTGATTATAGCAGAGTTCTATCAGCCCTTGACCCAGGCAGAATTGAGGAAAAATAGTAAAGACCCATTTGAGGACATCATAGATATTCTGTAAATTCTGTAGAGTGAAAAAGAAATCCAATTAAAAGCTATTCCCCTTTTCATCACATATACCAACAACTTCTTTTTCTCCTTGGTTAGTTCTGTGTTCCAGGTCCTCCCTATCCCAACTACTCACTGATATTCTCAGATAGACAGCCATCGAAACAAAGCAGATCCTTCCTGAGATATTAGATCTACTGACATTTGCCTTTCGAGATTTTACTTGCTTGAGAACAGTGATAATTTTACATCTAATTTTAAGAAATTCACAATGATCTCTACACAAGTATGAACAAAGGTGTTAGCAATATATGAACACTGAGTTTACAAATAACCCATACACATAAGGGGGATGCAGCTGCACAAACTCAAAGAATAACAATCCATGATGTTTGATTTGGGATTATGTGAAAATGATCATTATACAAAGAAATAAATTAGAAAACACAAATTTTTGCTCCTCCTAACCCCCTCACTCCAATAGGAAGCCTCACCAATGGGAAAGACAAATGTCCCAGATCTTGCATTTGAACTCAAAATGTGTCATCATATATCAACTGTGATTTGGTAATAATGGAAATGATCACATTAACACTATAGCTTGTATACACAATAGTTAATACTATAGTTAATGCTATAGATAGTATACACAACAGTTAATACTGGTTACACTAGATATTAAGACTGATCTAGTTCATCATTGTGGAAGACAGTGTGGATATTCCTCAAAGATCTAGAACCAGAAATACCATTTGACCCAGCAATCCCATTACTGGGTATAAACCCAAAGGAATATAAATCATTCTATTCCAAAGATACATGTATGCATATGTTCACAACAGCACTATTCACAATAGCAAAGACAAGGAATCAACCCAAATGTCCATCAATGATATACTAGATAAAGAGAATGTGGTACATATGTACCATGGAATACTATGCAGCCATAGAAAAGGAGATCATATCCTTTGCAGGGACATGAATGGGGTTAGAACTCATTATTCTTAGGAAACTATTGCAGGAACAGAAAACCAAACACCACATATTCCCGCTTATAAGTGGGAGCTGAAGAGTGAGAACACATGAACACAAGGATGGTAAAAATACACACTGGGGTCTGTTGGGGAATTAGGTGGAAGAGGAAGAGCATTACGAAAAATAGCTAATGAATGCTTGGCTTAATACCTAGGTGATGGGTAGGTCCAGCAAACCACTATGGCACAGATTTACCTATGTAACAAACCTGCACATGTACCCCAGAACTTAAAATAATTAAAAAGAAAAAAAGACTGATCTGAGAATCCAGTCACCTTTCTTGATTTCTTTCATTAACTCTATAGGAACATATTGTTCCATAACCTACAAATGAAAATTTGAAATTATTTGAAAAAAACATTTGAATAATGTTGCTTCCTAAACAAATAACAAAATAAAGAGCAAAGGAAAAGAAAGACCCAAAGAAAAACAATAAGCTGCTTTTTATTATTTGTTACCAATTTATTTAGATCCATTTTTCTGCAAATACCTCATTGTCTATCGATTTTTTTTAAACAAGTAAGCAATGTTGTTTATAATTAAAGGTAGCAATGCCTTTCCACTTGTCACACTGGTAGAATCTCATGAGTGGAAAGGTTCCTGGTCAGCTTCCTCTTTGGATATGGACAATTCTTCCTTTTTCTTTTGGACCTAAATCTCACTTCTGTGACTCTCTTCCCAGGGCAGCTCTCTGCTTCCAAGTTCCTCACCACAGGATTATCTACTGTGAGTCTGTTTTTGATTTCACCATGGTTCACTGGTTGACATCCCGATGGATCATGTCATGTTAGAGATCTGACGAGGGAAGAGGGAAATTGTATACTCTCTCTCACGATTTCAATTTTCTCCTCAAGCTAAAGCCAGTTAATTGTTCTGCAAGTTTTCTATTTAAAGTTTAGACATATTAATACAGATTAGTATCAATAATCAATCTGTAAAATCGCCAAAATAGATTATTACCATCACTGAATGCAAAATGGATGTTTGTAGAGTTCACTGCTTCTATGCAAAATGAAGCACAATTATAAAAACCAATATCCCCTATCATTGGCAAGTCTACTAAGTCTCTGAAAGTCCAGCCATGAGGAAAAAGACTCAACCCAGTTAAGCAGGTGTCAGTCCCTGTTTGATTTAAAATGAGAACTGCAGCATATGCTTCAGAACTAGGAGCTCAATACCTTTTTCCAGTCATATTTTCCGCCCCTGAGTTGGCCAAACATTTGGGAACTACTGAGGAATCAGAGTCCATGCAAACAGCAGGGAATCAGGAGAAAATAGTGTGGTCAGAGCTGAGAAAAATAACAAAATGAAAATGACTGCAATATCAGGACAGAGGAAAGTGCAAAATCTGAAGTCCATATCTCCAGGTAGCACAGGGGATGCTGAGAGGCTGAAAGGTGTATAAAAGCAGAGGCAAAGACCCAGGCAGGCCTCACTAAGGAAGGAGACGGGCATGAAAGGAATGTGACAGGATGAATGGGTTCAGCTTGACCTAGACACCTGCTGAAGATGACACCTAAAAAATGACTTGCTAATAGGAACAGCAATTGGAGAATGGCATTGGCATCACAAGAGAAATTCTTCCTGTCCATGGGGCTCATGCTTAGGAAAGCCCTTGGCTGCCACACTTGGAAAATAGCAAAATTAAATTTGTTCCAGAAATCAAAGAGAAGAGGGTGGAGTCCTCAGAGATTATCATCCAGATATGCTGTGTCCTGAGAGCATGTTCAGCTGTGCTGGGGCCCTTGTAGTCTCTGATCCCAATGATGGTGAACATTGACATGTTTCAATGACTCACTTTTCTACGATTCATCAGTAATTCATCAACAAATAGTCTGTGATAAAAATGCTATGGATGTGGCAGTGAACATCTTCATGGTTCTATGTCAAGAATGGAGTGGCCAAAACAGCACATCTTTTCATCAAATGTCGCTAAGCCTGGGCATGGCTTTTTTTTTTTTTTTTTTTTTGAGACGGAGTTTCGCGCTTGTTACTTAGGCTGGAGTGCAATGGCGCCATCTTGGCTCACCGCAACCTCCACCTCCTGGGTTCAGGCAATTCTCCCGCCTCAGCCTCCTGAGTAGCTGGGATTACAGGCACGCGCCACCATGCCCAGCTAATTTTTTATATTTTTAGTAGAGACGGGGTTTCACCATGTTGACCAGGATGATCTCGATCTCTTGACCTCGTGATCCACCCGCCTCGGCCTCCCAAAGTGCTGGGATTACAGGCGTGAGCCACCACGCCCGGCCCGGGCATGGCTTTTATAATGGCAACATGTTTTCTGCAAATTAGAACCAATTTATCTTTCTGGAATTTAAAGACAGTGGATACCAATGCATTTCCATTGAGTTGGAAAAGCAACAAAAGAGGGATGAGATAACACTGTCTTTGCACTAGAGGTACAGAGGTATAGAGGTGATGCTACAAAGCTACCGACCTTAGCTTTGGAGACGATGGCCAGCAACCGGGGCATGATGGTTATAAGCATGGTACAAAGGCCAAAGATGAAGTTTAGTGAGACGTAGGAAATGAAAGCCACATCTGAACTGGAGAAGATTCTGGACATCAGGTACATCCACGGAAGAGTTGCATATCTGAAAAGTAAAGTGAAAAGTCATGTTTGTTTTACTGTAACATTCACAGTAGTTTTCTTATTTATGGTAGATACATTCTAAGACCTTGGGGTGAATCCCTGAAAATGTAGATATTACTGAACACTATATATACTATGTTTTTCCCCATACATACGACCTATGATAAGGTTTGATTTACAAATTAGGTGCAGTGAGAAATTAAGAACAATGACTAGTATAAAATAGAACAATTATAGCCATACGCCAGCATGACTACTCTAGCACTTTGGGGCCATCAAGTAAAATATGGGTTCCCTGAACACAAGCACAGCCATGCTGCTACAGCCAAATTGGTAGCTCACTGACTCCCAGGTGCAAAGCGAGGATATGCTGGACAAAAGGGAAATTCACATCCCTGCCAGGACGGAGTAAGACAGTGCAAGACTTCATCATGCTACTCTGCATACTGTGCCCTTTAAAACTGATGAATTATTTCTGGAATTTTCCATTTACTATCTTAAGACCACAGTTGGCTGTGGGTAACTGAAATCTCTCAAAGCAAAAATGCAGATAAGGGGACAGCCGTATTTATATAATGACTGAATTACAGAGGCAATTTTATCGGTCCAGCACTTTTTCCTTACTTGGTGAACAAATAATATATACTTTATGTAATACATCCCATGGTATTTTCCAAAGTCCTGGGGCTTTAGAGGACTCTGCAATGCAATAGAAGGAACACTGAATGGGGTCACAACACATGGGTCATACGTGGGCCTGAACTCGCTGGCTCTGAGGCATGGGGAAATTCAGCTGACTTCTCCAACTTCTCTTTCCCAAAAGGGAAGCTTCTTTGCTCTGCTTCTCATCAGGAAAGCAGGAATAATACTTACTTGTTATACTGAGAATTAAAAGGTATCAAGAACATAAAAACTTGCAGAGCTACATAAGAAAATAAGGCCTAAAAACAAAAACCGAAGGCCCTCTTCCAGCATCCACTGTGCAGTATTACTGTCTGTGACTCCTCAGTCCCAGTACCCTAATCTTTCTCTAGCCCCCAGCAACCAAGGAGACAGCACCGTAACTGTCATCTCACAGGCAGAACAATGGGGCTTTGCAGAGTTCAGATGCTTGATTGAGCTTTGCAGGTGATAAGTAGATGAAGCTGAACATGGGGTTCATTTCTATTGGCCCCAAACCTGGGGAGTAAGAGACACTACTAAACATTGAACCCTAGAAGCAGTCTCCATATGTGTCAGATGACATCAGGATCTAAGATACCAATCAAATGTCCCTAAAAGGAAAACATCTCATTTTCTTTATTGTGTCTCTTCAATTCTAGAGCCAGGTTTCACTCATGGCAACTTCCCTCAGGTCCTTCCTGAAATAATCCCACTGCACCCAATAAAGGAAACACATGTTGAATGAATGGTTCCTAATATCAGCAGAGAAGTCGCTGATTTTGAATCACAACTTTCCCAAAAGACTCTCATGTATCAGGAACTGCAATATGTTCTCCACTCACTCGTATCACTGTTTCCTTACAGTGAATAATTGGCTTAACCTGAAACACTTCAGTACCTCCAAAATGTCTGAAGTTTTCTTAACATGTTAACAAGTTCTGAAAAGTATGAGACTTCAAAATGATATAAGAGATGCCAGGTCCTCAAATTATCTCTTAGTCTAGTATACATCCTCTTTCATATAATATCTGTGATATTAGAATGCTTTCCTGGGTTAAAAGATACATTGTCATAATTCACAAGATATACATGCTATGACATATGAAATCATATAGTGTTTTAGACCCTCTACTCAATACTAACCTGCCTCAAAATGTAGACATGAAAACAATTATTTCAAAACACACAATGGAGGCAAGAGCTGTTCTAAAACAGTTGCTTCATAAGACAATCAACTAATCAAATCAATATAATTACTAGCGAAAGAAGTCATGACTTCTTGGGGCTGTACATTATCAACACGTCTGTCTGAAATAAACTACCACAGAGAGGATTCAAACCCCAACACATATTCACCTACACCACACGCCTACCCTCTTTCCTATGCTGTCCCTTCTGAGACAATAAGTGCTACACTCCATCATGTGGCTGTTTTGAGAAGCAAATGAAATCATAGAATTGCAAATATTTTTGCAACTGAAACATAAGCAGTAGTAAAAGTTTGTGAGCCGAATTTTGGGGCAGCTGTAATTGCTGTAAAATTCATTCTAAGAGTGAATGAAAAATCTCCAACTTATAACTACTGATTCAAACTCTATATTCTGGAACAACACATGGCAAATTGGTTTTCTTTTCCATGTGACAGTTCTTTAAATAGCTGAAGATTGCCATGTTATTCTGCTTAAACCTCCACTATAAAAGGCTGGGTCTTTCTCTGCTCCTTTAACCACATGATATTCAACCAGCTCTCCCTGTTAAATTTTGCATTGTAGGGCTTAGGGGAGTTTCGGTAAGGGCACCTCACAGAGGATATGATGTGGTTGGCCTGGCACAACACACAGCAAGATTATCATCTGCTTTGATCAGCATCTCCACATCCAACCATGCAATCTGATGTGCAGCGGCCTCCCTGTCAGGCTGTGGAGTCTGTATACCGGATCCGCACTTGAGGGACTAATTACCACTTCAACACTAGGCTTCCTTTGAGATGGTTTAGGAAGTGTACTTTATTACTTATTACATAAGGTTGCCATGCTGGGCTATGTCATTTAAATATTTGACAAGTGGATTAAAGCATTACTTAAGAAAAACAAAAAATCAGAGACATGGTCCTAAATGATACCACATGGGAATTTCTATTACTAGATGAATGAAGAGTCTTCCACTGTGGTTTTTCAACTAGCTATGATTCCATCACTTTTTTTATTACATTTTCATTAGTTATCTTTCAAATACTTGTCTTAAATTAACATATTAGCAGCTCCAGTCTCCTTTTTTATAAGAAAAAAATTAAATTGCCTTATAGAGCATAATTTATTTTTTGTGAAAATTACAGTGAATTTTAATAATCTCATCTTTCATTAAAATATATTATTTTAATGATTTTAAAATTTGCTAGAGATTGGCCTACAGTTCACAACATCATGGAATTTACAGGGGAAGAAAATTCCCCTTTTGAAAATCGGCCACTTCCCCATGCTTTGTGAATTTCCCAAGACACCAAATAGGATTCTGCAACCTCATCTTTTAGTATTAAATATACATCAAATATATTCTTAAGTTTTCAATTTTTACGTAAGCTAGGCTTTCTTTTCTTTCGTTCACTTTTAGGTGTCACTTCCCTCTTTTGGATGCTAATTCTCCCCACTCTCTCTTTTACATTTTAAAGAATAAATTGTCCTTAACAGAAAGAAGAAAAATAATAAAACAGCTATTGGGCATGTTTGTCTTGTTATCTCTTAAAAGAATCAATCTGTGTATACTACCCCTTCAGATTCCTGCCTTTAAGTAGCCTTTTAATGCATGGATGTGCTCTTAGGTTTCAGCTCAGGATTCGTCTTTCCTAAGCCTGCCATTGGGCTCCCTGTACCCACGGGTCTTTATAGGGACAACAGGCATGAGCCAGCTCTGCTGTCTTCACCCAGAGATTGCCAGGCACACAGGGGACAGCAGCTCCCCAGACCGGGTCTCTCACTGCCCCTCCTGTTACAGTGGCAGGTCACCATTCCACCGGCTGCCCTCCAATGAAGAAAGAGCTACCTTCTAAAGCTGCATCCCCATGGATGTCACCCGGCGACCCTGGTCTACCTCCCTTGAGGGCTCTTCTTCCCTGGAATTAGCCGTGATCACAAACACGGTCTGAGTCACCTTTTACACCTTTCCAGTACCTGCAACCAACTGAACCAGAAGTGTGTAACCCCTATTACCTATGATTATGTTTCAACAGACCCATGAATCTCTAGAAATTCTTTGAAAAACATAGCTCTCTATATGAAGAAAATTCTTAGTTTAATTCAAAGTTTTAAAGGGTTTCACAATCAAAACAACATGAATAAAAATTTCTAAAAGCATGTTTTTAAGGCCTTTTAACCATTTCATCTAAGTTTTAACTCAGTTTTTGAGATATACTCTCCTAAAATTCAAAAATAATTTTATAACAAAGTCTATTTTACTCAAAATAGAGGGAGATATGAAAATACTATCCATTCGATTGGATCAGTAAACTGAAATCAAACTGTGTTCTTAGAGCTGGGTATACACATATTAGATCTTCCTACACAAGTTCATAAATTTCCAGTTGGATATAATAAACATGTGTTTACTATGCTTTATAGCTTAGGACATTACATCTTCTAAAGAGTAAAATAATTCTGAAGATTAACAATAATGGCTAAAATTAATTTAATGGGAACTTCGTACCAGTCATTGTCTATGATATTCATATAAACCATTTAATTTAATCTTTATATCAAAAGACATGAAGTTTTACAAAGAAAACACTGAGGCTTAGATAGAATAATTAATACTACCAAAGTCACAGAATTGAAGTTAGTGAGTGGTAATATCAATATTACCCACAAAAGTCTATCTGTCTGTCTTGTTTCTTTCTATTTCTCTTTCTCCCTCTCCCTCTCTCTCTCTCTCCCTCTCTTTCTCTCTCTCTCTCTTATCTATATACTTTTTTCTCCTTCCATCCATCCATCCATACACCCACCCACCTATATATTCATCTAGTAATGGTGTATATTTAAGTAAAACTGTCTTCTAATTAGATGTTTTGAATAATTCTGGGGCACTTACATAAATGCAAACTGTAAAAATCATTTTATTTATCCCAGCACTTTGGGAGCCCGAGGCGGGTGGATCATGAGGTCAAGATATCGAGACCATCCTGGTCAACATGGTAAAACCCCGTCTCTACTAAAGATACAAAAAATTAGCTGGGCATGGTGGCGCGTGCCTGTAATCCCAGCTACTCAGGAGGCTGAGGCAGGAGAATTGCCTGAACCCAGGAGGCGGAGGTTGCGGTGAGCCGAGATCGTGCCATTGCACTCCAGCCTGGGTAACAAGAGCGAAACTCCATCTCAAAAAAAAAAAAAATCATTTTATTTGTAATCCTCTTAAATAAAAGCAAGCTGTTTTATCTTTAAAAATAGCCTTGAATTATAATACAGTAGTATGATAATGATTTTTCCCTACTAAGTATCTCTTGCATAGCCTGTATGTAAGCATATGTGCATTGCACATAAGAAGACATATATATCCTGATACCAGATAGATATAATTTTGAGGCCACTAGCAATGATCTTGACTAGTATGCATAAATCAGAAATTCATAAAATGACTTTTTCCATTTGCTATTTTTTCATCTGAGAAAAAAGTGATAGAAGTTAGACAAAACATTTTCAAACTACTAATATCATAGGAAAGGAGAAGAAATGCCAGACAGCTTGCTGAGAGAACCTCCACAAATGTAATCTCCGAGCTAACTGGATTATATATTTGAGCCCCTGATTAATGTCAAAATGAGAATAATAGGGAATCCATTTCCAGCTGCACAAGTTTGTCAAACAGCTTGAGGGCCTGTCTGAGATAGGACAGTGCTGTCTTCATCACAACCGGGTCAGCCTTTCCTTCCTCCACGGGGCATTCATCATCCTGCTCAGGCTTGTTTGCTCCTTGTCCCTTGTAGAAGCAACATAATTGCTTCAAAAGAGAGGAAATCATGAAGCCGACAGCAGGTTCAAAGCCATCCTAAGGGTTTTCTCTTTCAGAAAATAAACCGTAATTCTGCAGCAGAGTTTCTTATCACATACCCGAAAAGTGACAGCAGGAGGGCTGTGGCTGCCAAGTTCTCGCGGAAAGTAAAAGCTGTTAACTGGAAGGCGACAATAACGGCAACGCTCAGGCAGACGGAAACCAAGTAAAAGAGCTGAGGAAATAAAAAGAAATAGGGAGAGCTGTTACATCAGATGGTCATATTTATTATCGTCTATTTATCCTGAAGTTTCCTTTCAACTTTACAAATATATTTCCTATTTTGCACATTAGGAGTTCTGTAGCCATGGAAGCAAGTCTGGAAAGTTGCTTGTTATAATCTGAGTTGTATCCCCCTAAAATGTATACACTGAACCCTCAGTACTTCAAGATGTGACTGTATTTGGAAACAGGGCCTTTAAACAAGTGATTAAGGTAAAATCAAGTCATTCAGGTGAGCCCTCATCCAACATGACTGGTATCCCTAGAAGAGATCAGGAGGCAGTCACTCAAAGTGGGGTGACCATGTGAGGACACAGGGAGAGGATGGCCATCCAAAAGCCAAGGAGAGAAGCCTCAGAAAGAACCAACCCTACCAACACCTTGATCTCAGACTTCCAGACTCCAGGACAGTGAGAGAATCAAGTTTCCGGGGTTAAGCCACCCAGCCTGTGGTATTTTGTTATGGCAGCCTAAGCTGACTACTACTGTCACACATACCCATGTCCTTTGAGGAGGGTCAAGGAAACCAATCAGCTTGCACGAAACACAGCCTCCTCGTACACATGTAGAACCAAGGCCAGACTCCTCGGGCTACCTCCCTATCCAGGCTCACCTTAAGGTGCTCCCCACTGGCCAAGAACAGCCAGGGCTTTCCTTGGGGTGCTCATATACCTGGCTCCTTCTTCTCTTAGAGCCTCAAGCTGCAGAGCTCTTTCTCAATGTCATTCATGGGGAGGGCCCCTTCTTTCCTTACAGATCTCAGCTTAAGTTTCACTGTCTTCTCTGACCTCCACATTGGAAGTCACCCCCCATTCCAGTGTTCTCTTCATTCTTTCAACAGATCCCGTCATGGGCCAACTGTATCTTGTGCATTTGTTTATTTGTTTGTTTACTTGCTTGTTTTCTGCTTCCTCCTTTCTTTGAGGGGAACAATCTTCTCTGAGGCTTTATGCATGGCTTTCTGGCCAACACCATTTGGGGTGCTATGATAGAATAATGTAGATCAGGTGGCTTATAAACCACGCAAATTTATTGCTCACAGTTCTCAAGACTGGAAAGACCAGAATCAAGGGGCTGGCAGATTCAGTGTCTGGTGAGGGCCACTGTGACTTCCCACCATGTCCTCACATAGAGCTCTCTGAGGCCTCTTTTACAGGACACTAATCCCATTCAGGGGGGCTCCATCCTCAGAACTAATTATCTCTCCGAGATTCCACTTCCAAATGCCGTCACACTGGGGATTAGGTTTCAACATGTGAATTTTGGAGGGACACAATCAATTAGTCTATAGCAACCTTGGACACAGCTTGACCCACAACAGATGCTCAAAAATATTTATTAAATTAGTGATTGAATAGAATAAGCAGAGAATGGTTGGATGAAGATGGAAAACCATCCAACCAAGAAGCAAAGAACACTCCCTGTCCTTAATCCCCAAGGTCAACCATCACAAAGGAAAGAAGAGCCAGACTGAGTGGGAGGCATAAAGAGATAATAAACTAGGGCCAGGCACAGTGGCTCACACCTGTAATCCCAGTGCTTTGGGAGGCCAAGGCGGGTGGATCACGAGGTCAAGAGATTGAGACCAACCTGGTCAACATGGTGAAACTCGGTCTCTACTAAAAATACAAAAAATTAGCTGGGCACAGTGGCGCATGCCTATAGTCCCAGCTACTTGGAAGGCTGAGGCAGGAGAATTGCTTGAACCCAGGAGGCGGAGGTTGCGGTAATCCAAGATCACGCCATTGCACTCCACCCTGGGTAACAAGAGTGAAACTCTGTCTCAAAAAAAAAAGAGAGAGATAAATTAAGGGTGCAGAAAGAAGGAAGACCTTGGGGTTTTGGAGACTTTGAAAGCCCCATGGTGCCCTGGAAGCATGCCCTGCTGTTTGCTGTGATTCTCTCTTGGCATACCCTTCTTCCCTTTTCTCTGGGAAAGTTGTGGCCCTTAGACACTGTTAAATGACAGATGGAAGACAGTCAAGTAGCCAGCAGTGTGTAGTGCTGGCTACACACTGGACCAGGAGACAGAAACTGGAATTGAGAAGCCATCTCTGTGCCAACTAGATGTAAAATCTTGGACAAGTTACTCCCATTTGCCTACCTTCAAGTGTCCTTTAGTAAAGATAAAGGTTTGGAGACCCAGAATTTGTCAATCTTAGTTAAGATTCATAAATCACCTTAAGTACCTAGTAAAACACAGACCTCCATGTCCCTGCAGACCTATTGAATAGAATTTTGAAGGATAGGCCCTTGGGAATCCTTATTTTTACCAAATGTTCCTGGTGATATCTATCACCAGGTAGGTTCAGGGAAACCTCTGATTAAATTAAACTCCTAAAACGTTAGGTAACTTAAGTGTGACCCCTATAAACTGTACTTTCAAAACAAAAATCCAAGTTACATGATCAAAAGGAAATAGATTAGCTAATTCTAAGCCAGTTCAAAGGAATAAATCTCACAGGAAAGCAACATGTTGATATATGGGATCTTGTGCACGGTGTCGCACAGCCAGGACCGCACCTGGGGTATGGAAGGTGCTCAGTAAATGGCAGCCCTCTGGCCTTCCACTGACTTATGTACAATGTTCTGTATCATAGGATAAATCATATTTATGAGGGCAGGGATATCACTTCCCTAAAAAATAAAGACAGCTCCAGAGAACACAGACAGTAGATGTTGGCCACTAAGAACAACCTACTTTATAAGCTGTATTTTTTTACCTAAGATAAGTGTCCTGTAGAAGAGGGAACAACTAGAAACTGCATCTATTATTGTCCCTTAGGATTGGAGACACTGATCCAGATGATTTCCATCCGGGAACTGAGTGCATTCTAGAAATGCTAATAATACCTGCCATACCTACTAGGCAATGAGGCACAGGTCTCACAGGACGGGGAGTTAGGCATGCAAATGAAAGATCATTTCTAATGATTTTTATCACCTCACCTGCTACCCCATTGAAAAGACCATAGTAAAGGTGATTATTTTCTCATCTCCTCAATAAGAAACTTTGCGTCTTTGAGAGATTCTATTATTTCCTAGTTCTCCAGCTTGAAGCTTTTGAGTGTACCCCTTATGAACCAATTCTGTGGTGATCGGTAAAGGTGACTTAATCTAAAAGTCCCTTACCAATAAGATGACCCCTTTTTGTGGACACTCCAAGGCAGCCAGAGCCCCACACCCCCCTCCATACACACACACTATTTAGATCACTAGCTTGGAGGCAAACAGAATCTCATTCCCATATCCTACCATGTCATATAGGAAGTTTGTGAACCAGTACATCCTGTAGCCAAGGCCACTTATGTGCTGCAACCTTTTGGCTCCAGTCACCCTGTCCCTCACCACAGAGGTGCCGATCGATGCAGACAAGATGGAGAATCCCAGCACGATGCAGAGGGCCACTCCACACTGACGGATGCTCTCCAGGCTGCAGGCAAAACAGAGCAACCAACTCTCAGGTGCCAGATGAAGAACACAAGCCTTCTTTGCTAATAGCAATCAGCAATGATGACAGCAGTGAGAACTGCTAATTAAAAATTCATAATTGGCCAGGCATGTTGGCTAAGGGCATGGATTCCCGAATTAAGTCCCCTCAGCCATCTTTTGAGACATGGATGGCTAAGCTCAGTTTACAGAAGACATAACTGAGGAGCACAGTTTAAGGACATTCTGGAGTCTGCTTGTGTCAAAGTCTGCTCTTCACCATTGAGCCTGACTCCCAATTAAGATGAAAGACTCAGAGCAGTGCCCAGGTAAGCTGTGACCTTTGCCCACCTGGGAACTGCTCTGCAATACAGCAACACCCGCCAGAGAGGAGCATTCACTACAGCCCCACATTGCACTTGCCCATCTCTGAATTTAGTCATATGAAATGCCAAAGAGATTCTGCAATACACTGAGGTGTTTTGTGATAATATACACTGTACATTTTCTTAGTAATTGTTTTACCTGGAGCCCTACTGCTAACATCTTTCACTCAAGTCAATTGTCACCTCCTCTCAACTCCCTGTTTAGGAACAGCCAGACCACAGATGGTCTTTTAAGAGGCTGACACAGTGGAACTCCTCAGCACAAGTCATCTGCTGTGCCATGGCTTCTGCTCCACTGTGTCTCATTCTATAACAGATGTCAGCTAGCCCACTCCTGGAATTCCAGGAGGTGTCTAACACTGTTAAAGCTAGAATCCTGAAAATCATTATGTGAATGTGAGGACAAGCTGCAACCCAACCTATGCTTCCTGCTGGTTCCTGCCAGATTAATGACTTGAGTAGAGAATGCCCATTAAGCAGAATTGCATTCTCCAAATTAATTTGGTAGGTCATAAAAAGTTTTTAAAAATACCTACTTTTATTGTCGACTTTTAATTTAAAAATTGTCACCCACATTATAGAGAAGGGAGATGGGGGGAAAAGAGAAGACAGGTGGAAGCATGCTACCCTTTACAATGACAGTGAGAACTGACACCAAATTCTGTACCTGGAGAGCTCTTGCCTTATCACTACCCATGACTCCATCTGGATCATGAGTAAAATCTTGCATGATAAATATTCAAGGAGGCATTACTGTGTTCACCTACATGAATGCAATGTTTGTAATTTTAACCCAAAAAAAGTCTTCAGAAGATGTACAGTCACATAAGCTTCCGGTAAATCATTCCTTTAGAATAATTTCTGCTTAGAAGTACAGTTGCATGACATACTCATATGTTTTAAGCTTAGTCAGTGTACTGCCTCTCTTAATAGCCATTCTTCTCATACTTTGCTAGGAAATGCCCAGTTCTGTGGGCATTTCTTACTCTATAAGTCATCTCTTGGGGCAGATGCAAAAGAGGAATCAAAGTCATCCCTAAGTAACCCAAAGATGCTCTTCCATAGCAGAGTCACACACCCCTCACTCAGCATTCCAGCAACTCACATCTTGTCTTCGTTCAGCAGGGCCCCTCCGTATGGGTGGCTGTAGAGTGTTATTCCTGTGAAAGACAAGTTGGAAAGTGAGCCTGGAGCCTGTTCCTGCCCTGTGAACCACAGCTCATCTACAAGCTACACAGATTCCCTGTGCCATCACAATGTCTCCCGCTTGCTTTGCCCAGGCCCTGGCCAATTAGCAGAAAAGAATGGCAAGTTTCATTTTGAAATTCAGCAAATGTGTGCTGGGATTTCTGTCACTGATGTAATTGTCAAACATAACCAGCATGAATTGCTCATGCTTTACATGACAGGCACTGTGTTTATAGGTTCTTACATTTTATTGTCTAATTCTCATAAGTATCCCACAGCCTATGTTTGCAGAGAGGAAACATACTTAGGCTAAGTAACAATATACAAAGAAGACTATTTGATATAAATCAGGTCAATATTCATCTCAAGATCAAGCCAGCTCTAGACAGCTAGAGAACTGGACTCCTTCACTGAATCAATTTTGATTTTGGAGTTGTTTGTTTTGGTTTGCTTTCTTGGGCTTTTTGCATGTGTGTGACGCCAGCAGCCAAAATGAAGAAATTTCCATCAGTTCGTCAATTAAAAGGATCTTATTATAAGAGCTGTTTATAATATCACAGAGTGGGATAGCGCTTCCCCAGAGAATTCCAGTCAATATTGTGTTAAGAACTCCATAAATAAAATTGGTTTATGTTCTATCTTAGACATTGTGGACTGTGAAAGTAATCAGGTTTCCTTTTCCTAATTGGTTGTGTCAATGATGAGAGCCAAATGTGTGGCTTGTACATGGAGGCTATTACCCAAGGCACACACCCTTGCTCCGTTTCATGTTGCCAGTCCTACATTTTGCTTATTTTTCTTGTGACTCACCTTTAATTTACCCTATCATCTGTATTTTAATTTATCTTATCATTGATATTTTGCATTGCCTTCTGAGAACACATTAAATCCTTACTGAAACACCACAGGGTATAAGTAAGCATACATAAAAGGTACAGAGTTGAAACAGGCTGTAGTGCTCCAAAATTCCACAGTTTTGCCACCAGGCATCTGGACTTCTGTCCCTTTGCCACCTGTTCTTCTCCCCAGCTATGCCAGCCTATTTTTCCCTTCCATTGTGGACTCACCCACACACTAAGGCAAGTTCCAACTCAGAAGCAACAACAGTGAGAGCTACTGGTTCAGCAAAACCACTGTACAGTTTTCTAGAATAATTTCTTTGATTATAAATAAATGCTGTCCAGATATGCTGATCCAGGCTTGCAGTGTGTGTGCCTGATGCCTGCTGTGTTGCTTCCTGAATCCTAGACTTAACACATTCATTGTGAACTGAATTCTGTGGTCTCTATCCCTTGCTTGTCTGGACCAATAACACTCACCAGTCTTTCTCCTATAGTCTTTCCTTCACCAAGCTTGACTTCTAGCCTACTCCTCATGGGGCCAGCCAGTCCCATCCTTCCTAGCTAATGTATTGACTCACAGGCAGCTTCTCACTTGATGTGCAACCCAATGCCAACCAACCCTATCAGGGGGTCAGAAAAAGCCAAATGACATTAGACAGTGTTTATAAAGTATCAGCTCCTGCCAAAGTATGACCCGTGCTCCACTGGTGCTGTAGACGATAGGAATATATTTGCAATGTTGTGGGCTCTTCCAGATTCTACATAAGAATGAGAACATTCTAGATTAGAGAGGATCCAGAGAAATGTGGTTAGCTGAGAACATGTCTTAGAATTATATTATTTGAGGAATACAGTAGAATACTGAAATTGTTTAACCTAAATATGCACACACACACACACACACACACACACACATAAGGCAAATATCCTTATCATCTTCCCAGTCACCCTGACTCATAAAAACTTTAAGTCCTCCTCATCTCCCTACTCTTCTTCACCCTACCCATCCAAGAAGTTGCCAAGTCCTATTATTTAAACCTGAACTCCATCCCCACAGGGCCAAGGCTCCCTCACAAACACGTGCATCCCCACTCAGCTTGCCTCTCTGCACATCCATGAATTCCCCCATCCAGAAATCCTAGAGAACTTCCAGAAAGAAATAGAAAAACACAGAGCCCATGTTCTTTACTTAGACATACATCTCTTTTAAAATCAAGTCCAATCTCTATATTCTCCCACTGCACCCATTTGAAAAGCTGGATTGCTATCATTTCCTCAAACTCTATGGCTGCAGGCGTACGTCATTTCCTTATGCTTCTGTCCAACCCTGCTGAAACCCACTCCTGTCTCCCATCTGTTGGATGCTGAATTAAATTTCCTTTGTTTTCAATTATTATTGCTCTCGTTTGTTTGTATTGTTCCCAGCTTTATTCAGGTATAATTGACAAATAAAAATTGTATACATTTAAGGTATACAATGTAATATTTTGATATATGTATACATTACAAAATGATTACCACAATTTTTATCCTGCTGATGGTAATGTAAATTGGTACAGCCATTATGAAAAACAGTATGGAGGTGCCACAAAAAATTAAAAATAATCTATCATGTGCTCCAGCAAACCCACTTCTGGATATAGGTTAAAAAAATAAAGTAAAATAAAATATTATCTTCAAGAGTTATCTGCAGGTCCATGTTCATTGCAGCATTATTCACAACAGCCAAGATAGGAAAATAACCTGTGTCCATTGATAAATAAATGTACACAGAAAATATGGGATTGACAGATAGACATCCATATGCATAATGGAACATTATTCAGCTTCAAAAGAGAAGAAAATCTTGTCTTTGAGACAACATGAATGAACACAGAGGACATTATGTTAAGTGAAATAAGCCAGGCAAAGAAAGACAAACACTGTAAAATTTCATTTATATGTGGAATTTTCAAAAGACAAACTCACAGAGAGAGTAGAAGGCTATCACCAGGGGCCAGAGGAAAGAGGCAATGGGGAGATGTTAGTCAAAGGATACAAAACTCCAGACATAAGATAAGTAAAGGCTGGGCATGGTAGCATGCACCTGTAATTTTAGCCCTTTTGGAGGCCAAAGGAGGAAGACTACCTATACCCAGGAGTTTGAGGCCAGCCTGGGAAACATAGAGAGATCCCATTTCTATAAAAATATTTGTTTTAATGATCAGGGCATGGTGGCATGCACCTGTAGTGCCAGCTACTTGAAAGGCTGAGGTGGGAGGACTGCTTGAGCCTAGGAGTTTGAGGCTGCAAGTGAACCGTGATTGTACCACTGCATTCCAGCCTGGGCAACAGAGTGAGACCTTGTCTTTCCCAATAAATAAACACATACATAAGTAAATATATAAATAAGTTCTGGAGACCTGATGTATAGCATGGCAACTATAGTTAATAACATTTTGCATACTAAACATTTGATGATGTTTGATAACATTATTTATCCTCACCATGCATGAGAAAAGAATTTAAATTTTCAGAAGTATGAAGATGGGTAAAAAGGAGGACAGGAAAATTTCAAACTCTAAGTCCTTTCATGCTTATGAGCAGAGATAAAGGACTGGTAGCCAGAAATACACAAAAATTAGCCTGTAGCCATGCATTGCATGCTATTTAGGACATTAGACTATTTGTATAAATTCTCCTAGAGAAATTATGTCCAATCAGAATCATTATGCTAGTTTACAGAGTCAGTATCTGAAGCACAGGTATTTAGGAAATCTTCCTGTAGACTGACCGTTATGGCACAGCTGAGATTGAGACCTTGGTCTGCAGACAGCACAACCGTGACCTTGCCTGCATATCATACATCTTTCTTCAGCACACGTCTGGTTTCCTAAAGAATATAGCCATATAGTGGGAACGGTACAGGGCTGGAGGTTGAAGGTCCTCTGTTCTGTTCATTCTACAGTGAAAAGCTGCCAAAAAACACTGTTGTTTCTGTGGGGAGCTCAATAATAAAATGTTAAACTACCAAGGTTGGATCTTTATTTGATCAAGTCGCATAAATAAATACCTTTTCTTCCCTTCAACTGTGACAGTCATTGCTGAAAGATTGAAAACGATGCTTTTCTATTTGCTTTTGGTATCCTATTTCTTCTGTTATGAATTTATTCCCCTTCATTTTAGCACATTTCCTGGATTTGTGTCATTCTTTTAGGGTTTTAATCTAGGAGGCGAGAGTACATCTGGTCTTCCATCTCACTGCTGAAATGATTGACTGCTCCTATGGATAGTAGTTTCCCAACATGCCAGATCCTCTCCTGGATGTTTTTATAATACATTTTCTCATTCAGTAATCTGATGGTGAAATTGTGTTAAAGAAGTGAGTATTATATGCACAGTTATTTGTAAGTCAGCTCTCAGCATTTTAGAATTGTAGATTCTTACAGGAAAAGGGAATCCCATGAAGTGGTCTAGTTTGGACACACCTGTGTTCCAAACTAGAGCAGGTTCCTGTAGTCTGGAACCTGCTCCTGACACAGGCAGAACCCATGTGTCTGAAGTCCCAGGTCTGTGCCTCTTTCATCAAATCGCCTACTAACATACAGAGCACTGAAAATACTGCCTCTACAGTCATCCACAATGGATCCCAATGACAGTATAACATAGAAATGAAAACCTCAACTATGACAGCAGAAGAGAGCAGCTGATAAATTTTACATGCTAAACTTCAGGACAGAGCCCACTAATGGCAGCCATCCTGCCTTCTCTTCTAATTTTTGCACATTGCTATAATCTTCCATGAGCTCTGTCTCCACCTAGGTCTTAAAAGTACAAAACCATTGGTGCCAATACCTGAACCCCCAAACTACAGTGGCTGCCCCTCCCTTCCTAGGTCCTTTACTCATAAATAATTCAGAGGGGCCACAGATTTTCATTTGGCACTAGCTTTAGAATCCTACAATTTACATATTTGTCACACAGTAAATATTTAAAGACACTCTATTGAAGAACATACTGATCCACAGTTCCTCTCACAGGGCCCTCCAGGGAATCTTTATGGCCTTGGAATGGGGCCTTCCTGCTCAGTGCTCAGTGCCCCTGGACAATTTCTAAGCACTTTGGGGTTTAACATTCCCATGTTTTCACTC